AAAAACTAGGCCTTTCCTACTATTTCGTAAAAAACTAGGACTTTCCTATTTTTTTTTTACAATGCGTGATATCAAATTCCATTTGCGCAAATCTGTCGGAATAACGTTGGTGTAAACAGGCTATTTACACGCGGTAAAACGAAAGCACTAGCTAAGTCTGAAGTTCATCAGTGATCGAGAGCGTGGGTGACCAACCGTGTTTGCGTGTTGGGTGGGTGGTTATCTTCACTCATCTCAAAAATATATCGGACTGGCATGAATAACGAACACTGATTGGTCAAATTTAAAATTTGCATTATGTGCATTTTGTAGTCGCCGAGCCGACGGCGCGAAGAGCCGTGCGAGGGTACAAATTTCCCCCTGCTATTTACACCCGGGGAAACGGAAGCATTAGCCACGTCTAAAGTTCATCAATGAGCGCGGGCGTGGGTTACCGTGAGTGGTTCGGTGGGTGGTCATCCTCGCTGATCTCAAAAATATGGCGGACTGTCATGAATAGCGGACACTGATCCAATTTAAAGTTTGCATTATAACGACTGCATGACGACAGCGAAATAGCAAACATTTGTTGATTTGATGATTGATAAATTTCTTGCAAATATATTTCATTTTTGCTCGCATTTTGCAAGATTTTGTAAATTTCAAGAAAGAATGGGCGAAAGAATCGGCTAAAAGAAGGGAGCCGACGTTAACGAAGATAAGTTTGTTTTAAATATTGATTTTATATTGGATTTAAAACCCGACGGCCTTTGCGTATATGAAGCAACTAAACAAGACAGCATATAATTTCAGTGTATATATCTTTGATATTGATTCCCTTTTTTATTATATTGAATTTTTTAAATAAATAAAAAAGAAAGCAAAGTTATTTGCATGCGAGGATTTAAAATCATTTTATTGCAAACTGAAAGTTTATCGATAAAGCCATTTAAAGGCACAGTTCAGCCTGTTGAACGATGGTTTTTAAGGCGCATTTCAGCCCTGTTAATTGAAAAAACTAACTAGGAAAATCAATTAAGCATAATTCAAAATCAGTAAACTCGATGTTTTTAACAATATGAATGTTTTAAAATGTTAAAAACATTAAGATTGGTGATTTTGAATTATGCTTAATTGATTTTCCTAGTTAGTTTTTTCAATTAACAGGGCTGAAATGCGCCTTAAAAACCATCGTTCAACAGGCTGAACTGTGCCTTTAATTATCAAAGGCAGTAACACTTTATTTTTTAATTTAAAACGTTTTGCGAAGCGTTTGTGGTTGAATTTTACCTTAAATTGAAGCTTATATTACGTATAATAACATACCTAACAAATATATGTTGGGAAATTGATAATTTTGTGATTAAAAGTGATATTTTTAAGCGATTTTTCATTTGTGAGAATATTCTTAAAAAAATATATCGTGTTACCATGACAACAACTTTAGATACTTTATGTTCGGAAAATACAATGGTTTTATCAGCAAGGCGAGGGTTTCTGCATGCATGTATTTTCTAGTATTATTTCTATTCAGTACAGCTACCAATAGTACAATATACTGTACTACACATTTATTGAGGCAATGATTATTTACGAAATGCCGAATTGTGACTCATGTTTGGCATACATTACATTCCAATTTTTAAGAAATAGTCATTAACTAAATTGAATGCTTCCGTGTTGTTTTTAAAGCTGTTGTTTCTAATAGTGTGGGCATAGGTATGGTCTTGAATTTTAAAGTATGAGTACATACTGTACATGCATGTGTAAAAGTTTGATATCACACTCATCTCTTAGCTGCACTTGACCTTTACAACAGCAACTTTAACGTCACCGTATTTTTGTTCACCACGTTCTCCTGATGCTTTGCTAACATGCAAAGTGTCTAGTATTGATTTTCAAAAGAAGTTAGAACGACAATTGTATAAAGACATTACCAATATCAGAAATGCTAAAATTGTGTGTTCCGTAATTGTCATTAAATTAAGTATATTATAATTTTTATAGTGCAGTTATGCCAATTAATTTCCATCAATACTGGTATCAACACCAGAAACCTGTGAAATGGACTATACTTTACTACCATATATTACTACAACAAATTAGATACATATCAAAACATGTATCTTTTATACATATGCGCTAATTAGCTTTATAAGTTATAATAAATACTTATAAGCATCTCGCAAGTCACTCCCAAAAATTTTAAGAGGGTTACTTGAAAGCTAAGAAAATTGGGCTACTAATTTTTTAGGATACTGAACCCATGCAGGCACAAGCAAAATGCCATTTGGAGGCGTAAGCTAAGACACTATAGCATATGTCGATCCTCAATATAAACCAGATTAAGTAAGAGTAAAACAATATTTTTACGTTATAACAGGTGATGCACAGTTCAAACGAGGTCCAGGATCCTTCATATTCTCTCTACGTAACGACGCACATCTCCCTCCTTTTAAAGCCCCACTGAAAGATGAAAATACTCCGCACGCAATTTACGCAAAATCTGTTTTTGGACCAACTTTTGGAACTGGTTATGAACTATACATATCTGACAAGGCAGCTTCAAATGTCAACTCATACGCATATCTAGATTCTAGTCGCAACTACCAAGCTCCATCTGGCATCGACAGCACAAAAAACCTCCTGGCAGGAAGCTTTCGTTTTACTCCATCAGAAGTAGAAGTTTTCTACTTTGTGCAGAACTGATTTCAATATATCCACTGTACCAAACATTGCTATTTCTCAACCCAAACCAAAAGTAATCTTATTTCATTCAAATGTTGTCTTGAGCACGGATCAAACGCATGGATGTTTTAAATTCAGAGGCGTGGGAAAGAGGAAATGAGAACTATGGCAAAGAATCATGGAATGTGATATACAAAGTGTCAAACTTACAAAAAATATTTACGGCGTTAATTTTAAATAGACAGATAACTTCAAAGATCATTAATAATTCATGAGATAAACCCGAAGAAAGATCATAAGCGTGTTGTATCTTTATATGTGATAGAGATTTCCCTTGATTTACTTTAAACTTTAACTTTGATTTTCAATTCTCGACTTACACAACGTATTTTTTGAAAATTACTTACTAGATCGATCTTTTTGAAGCGATTTAAAACATTCGCAGTTCGTGTTTTATCAGATCTAAAGATAATCGGTTTCGCCCAGGTTATATATCGTGACAGAAGTGTTTATGCGACATATCAACCGAGGCGCGCCGCGCCGAGGTTGATATGAGCATCAACACTGAGGTCTAGGGTAGGCCTAAATATAACCGGCTTATATCATCATTTGCTGAAGTTAAAAAATAATTAAAGAAGAATAGGTTTTGCTGTGATTGTGATAAACACACTACGTGTTAACGCTTAGGGGCCTATTAAACAATGTTACACAATGTTATGAATATCGTGTTGACTCTACAGTGCGCAACAAAGAGGAGACATAGCGTATTGTAATAAAGAATTGTATGGAAAGAACTGGTCACAGACGTCTGGCGTCACTACACTCCTACCAACATCCAAGTGAAAAGTCGAGAGAAATGGTGTCAGACATAATTACGGAGAATAACAAGACTGATGAAGAAGATGTAAAGCCTAGCTTGAAACTGAAAAGATGCCTTGCAAACAACAGGAGAGTGAGGACAGCGAAGATGACACTGTAGATAAAGCTAAGTCATCAAAGCCAATGCGTGTTTTTAACTTTTCAAACTGCAAAGATGTGATTAGGTAAGATTTATTGTTAGACGTTGCGTGATTAAATCGATTTATAGTTGTGTTGTCATAAAAATTTAAGAAAATTGAATAGTTTCTTGCTCATAATAATTTGTGGGGTGATATTTATTAATCAACCCCATTTAGAGGTTTCTATTTATTAATCAACTCTTTCTCGACAACCTGTCTCGTATTACATTTCGAATTCAATTTTTCTAATATAAATATCTCGGCGAGTATTTACCCCCCTTTTAAATAAATGCCACCATTGAAATCCTCACAATATAACCTTTCGAACGGGGGGTCAAGTGCCGTCAAAACATTACACAAACCGAAACAATCATATATTTTATACTCACTGCTTCGCCAAACATTCAAAGGAGAAAATGAGAAAAAGTTGAATATATTCTAAACTTTGGTGTCATTTCCTGAAAGGATATGTGTAAAATACTCTTTGTATTCAAGCGCTTTCGTGTAGAAAGTTTCGTATGTATACGCCGACTAGAAATATTTATTTTGAATTTTTAAAGTATCGGGTTTTACTAGCACGCGCTTGTATTACGTAATACTTGGCCAATAAGGAGCTCCCTTTAGCCGGGATGACGTAAAACTCACGCGTATGGGTGCACTTTGACCTGTAGAACCATTTCTGGCATTTCCAGAGTCACGCGATGCAAGCGTAGCATTGTTTTGACGGTTTTTCGTCGTATTTCCGGTTGGGATTAACGCATATTCGGAGCAGAAATACAAAATTCGGCACTAAATGTCGAATTTTAAAGATAGAAGCTTGAAAATAACACTATACGTGTTATTTTTAACTTCTTATTGCAGCAAGAACATCAGAATGAGCATACGTCTCAATGGAACGAAGTTATATTCGGCGAAAGGTATGTTTATGTTTATAATTTGTCAGTAATATTGCGTAATTTGATCATATTTATTCATATACGAGCTCGTTTGACTTTCAAAGCTCATAAATCGCTATAATGTTGCCATTCACTAAATCTATCGATAGGAATGAGTAGCTATCGTTACACTGAATCGAATGGTGGTATTTTGGTCCACGTAGCATTTACCGAACTGAAGATATGAACCGCAAAAATGATAAATCTTGAGTGATTTGTTTAATAGGGACCTGTCGGGAAAGAGTTAAATTAATAAATATATGAATGAGGTTGATTAATTTATATCGACCCTGGATTTGGGTTGGTTATTTCAGTCCCGCACTCCCCAGGAGATATTCAAAACCGCTCGCTGCTTTTAGGCAGTTGCCCATCCACTGTGTCGATTCACATGATATCGAAGCAATGATGATATACATCTGATAAAGCACTGCTGTTCGTGTGTTTTAAATAGTACAAAAATATTTATATATTGCACCATGTATATTGACTATATTTCGCACTCTTTGTCTTTCAGACCGACGAGTCTTTCTCCCATTTCTCAAGAGTCTGAATAGTCGATATCTGCGAGAACTAGTTGCCTCCCATTTGAACTTGGATATTAATTACAACGTGTTTTGCATTTCATTGTTTGAAAAGTGTGGTAATTTATATTTTGTGCATGATCTTCACTTCTTTTTTATTAGGATTCACATTCATTTCTGATATTTTTGTTTCTCATTATATCTCATTCATTTTTCATTGCTGTCGACGGGAATAATTAAATTTATCATATAATCGGACATGAATCATTCAGAACTTTAAGTTGTTTGGGCAATATAATAAATACTGATGTCTATATATAGAGATAATTTACTAAAAACCTTTCAGATACTAATTTCGTAATTTCTTTCTGAGTTTGAGACTTGCGATCGATCTTAGTTTAATCCATTAGTGTCAAATGTTGTTTAAATAAAATGCTGATTTGTTGCAAAGTTTAGAGTTTTTCAATTATTTTAGTACGATATTAAATGTCACTTCTGACAACGATCGCTTTAGTGGTCAGAACGAATGTCGTGGTTTCTTTGTTTTGTTGAAACACCAGGCCTTTTTAATCATCTTTTGATCTACATTGTTTAACAAGGCCCCCCGGGTGAAAATCGGCAACAACCATTCTCCGCATTTGTTTTATGTAATTAAGATATGGATTTTCACATAACAGAGATTATTAAAATTAGTCTAGTTCAAAAGCAACGTTATAATGGATGGTTTAAAATAAACTCTGATTCACTCCGCAATGGACCACTGAATTCACGCATCAGTTGTGATAAGGGACCGGTCATTAATTACACGGGAGGGGGGCTGGTGGGAAATGAGGGGGGTCAGATATTTTTGTGCATGAAAAAAGGGGGGCCAAAAATTTTGGGGCAATATAAATACCTGCCCCGCTGGACCCCGCCCTACCATAAAACCAACAGATAAAAATAGAGAGCAGTAGAACTGTAGTAAACTTCAACACAACACCATTTACTTAACTGATTTCAACATAAACATGAACATTTGAACAGCTGTGGACTCAACAAATGGTAAATAATATACAGTATAAATTACGGTACATGTATACAGGGCATAGTTGCCAAATCTCACGAATTCACCATCAGCATCACATATTCTACTAAAACCTCGCGGTGAGCTCACAGCTTGGTAATTTCTCACAGATTTCGAAAATAACCCAACAAGTTCTTAAATATGTTGCCTTTGTTGCACATTTTAAATTAACTATTAAGCGTGACTTCATTTACGTCAAATTACATAAAACCTTTTTACCTCGTGCTTGTGGGTATTCAACAATATATATGGTTTTGTATATCTAAATAAATTGTGTGTATAAGGTATTGAAGACTCTGAAAATGCCATTTCCAACGATCTAGAAACTCCATATTTTCAAAAAACTTTAGCTCAGCGCCAACTATGGTGGCGCCTCGTGGCATGGGTCCCCCAAGGCAAAATCTCACGGATTTGTTTCCCAAAGTTGGCAACTATGATAGGGTAGTATGATTAAATGTGGCTTCACTTAATAGGAACTTTAAATTTATACGAATGTGCCTTTTGTTATTTGCATGTGGGATGGGGTGGTCAAGTATAATTGTGTTATCCTCAAGGGGGGGACAACATTTTAGCATCTAATATTTCATTTCCACCAGCCCCCCTGTAATTAATGACCGTTCCCTAAGTGTTAACAGGTTTGTTGACCACTTGTGTCACAGCCATAACACTGGTTTTCTACACCGATTTTGGTAATCTTGAATATCAATATTCATATCTTAATTATAGACTAAATTTTCGATGAATGCTAACGATTACGGTTGTGGAAAATGCAGGAAACAGAATTTATGTTCAGAATCCTGAACAAACAGTATTACGACTCTTGGGACAGTCGAACTATATTTACCTTTCAGTAACCATTCAAAAACTTCTTCATTGTCAGTTGGTACTTCAGCTTCCATATCCATTTCTTCTTGTGCTGTATCACTATCTGTGACAAATATGTAGATAAATAAGATTTATGAATGTTTACTCTACATATTTATAGCACAAAATGCTACGTTTATTGTGCATACATGAAGAGGATTCTGTTGTTTCCTTGCCTGACGCAATATAGACCTCTTCCTCCGAATCACTTCGTCCTGACTCTGTACTCATTTCTGCATGTGGAAGTGGAACTGGTTAAACAGACCCATAAAATGACCTAAATATATGCATACATATTAACAAAGCAATTAGAAAATATCTTAATTTTTAATTCCAAATGTGAGGTAAATAAATATAATACAATTACACAACACATTGCAATACTTTTATTGCCTAAAAACACAATGTCCAGTATACTGGACAATGCTAAAATATGGGGATTTTTGTTAGAAATGCATGCATTTTCTCACAAAAAATTATTAATATTTGAAACCAAGTATAAGGCGGTTATGAATATTTCTATTACACTGGCATAACTATTTGTTACCTTAGTAAAGATTTAAAATGAGAAAACCTACCTCATGCTGATCGTGAAACTAGACGCCATCTCGGAATGATGAATAAACTCAGAGATCCAAAGGATAGTTCAAAGTTGATATGACAAATGATAATTAAGATTTGTTGATTCGCATAATGAATGATATGTGAAATATGATTGATGCATCTATAAGAAAGTTGTATGGCGTTTGTTTTTATATATTACAAGCCACGACAGTAAAATTTGTTGTTTTCGCATGGATAACTTTCCATGGCTTAATTCCTTGAATGGTGGCTTTAGTCCAGATCTTTTTTTCTTTGCTTTTAATAATTCAGTTTTCTACCCATTTTCCATTGTACATTTAAGTAATACAAAACAAAATAAACCACCTTCGAAAATCGAAATGAAACAAAAATGAACAGCTTGCAAGAAATTGTTGTCACCTGACATTCGAGATCATTTCCAGATTTAGAAAGCCAATGAGAAAACAGGAAGGGTTCAAGTCGACTGCGTGCTGTCCATGTGCTCCAGAAGTTGCTGTCTAATGACTTTACAGTAATAATATGCAAACAGAACTATGGCCGACATCTAAATATTTCTCACTATTAAATATAATATTTTACAGTTTATCAATGAAATGCCATGACTGCATAAGTGAGAAATACCAATAGTTTGACAAAAGCTTGGAATGACTGATTATATAAAACGTCTCGGAAACAATACGAACTGACATTACTGACTACAATAACAGATTACACTCAGTACAGATATTTCTGCTATTAAAAATAATATACTTCACTACAAGCACTACAATCTTGGACCTAACTGGTTGAGACTATTTCCTCCCTATGGAAAATTCGCGTATTTTTATGATAACTCCATGTTGAATCATGTTGCCATTCTTAAACCCACGCTCCCCCAACTCAATGTTGAGCTTGTATCATGGTATATTACCAAAAGTTGTTTCGGCGTTGTTCACAACATTGAACTGGGGGGGGGACAAAGTTTGTTTTGTCAATGTTCAATAACTTTGTAATATTAGCTGAAATGGTCGCAAGGGTTTTGTCCAAGATTGTCTGAAGCACACTGAATTTAATTGTGCATTATTAATCAATCTTTTTAAATTTTCTTCCACCCCAGTAGTCTGAAAGACGGATATACACGTTACTTCTTGTTTTTCGAGCAATATATATATTCGTTTGCATGAAAAGCGAGCAAAATAATGCCTATTCGAACTTGTCACATCCTAAAATATAAGCATGAATTTTTCTTGTTGTTTCATCTAAAATATATAGTTTTCTACTGCCAGAAGCGAGTAATATCATGTTACTAGGGCATAGAGGTCGAGACACATGCATTGGGATTTAATTCAATTATGTAAATATCACGTTCAAGTGTTGCTGTATATAGGTATTTTTTATAAGATGACGTCATTTGTTCTATAGTTTATCAGCCTCAAACTTGCTTTTGAAACTTATAATTTAACCCGAATTTTTTTATATGACGGTTAACCAAGTATAATCTTTATCGTGGTTTGATAAAAGAACGGTAAACAGGCCATTAGAACGGTAAACGGCGACTCCAATTTAAAACAATGACTAGACCTATCAATTACTATAAAATCTTGCTGCTATCCCAGTTTACCGTTGATATCACATCAAATCTTTTCGTTAATCGTTTGAAATGTTCTTATATATTATTATAAAAGGTTTATGCTCCAAAAGTCATGGCGATATACTCGCATTTCTTTACTATGGTCAATTTGAACATTGTACAGGCGACTCTTTGTTCCTCGTGGGGGGTCGCCATACTATAATAACCTGTGAAAAGTGCGGATTGCCTATATGAAAATAGCTGTGTAGACAACGTTTAGTATGTCCATGATTCCATTTCTTTTTAAACTCTGTAGCTATGTTCTATAGCAGTAGCTAATTGGTTCAAATGGAGCAGGGAACGTTCGCACGTTAGAGTGAATAGCCGTTTTCTGAGCAAACCATGTTATCAAGTTTGACCAATTCGGTTACTTTTTGTGTTGGATATGTTTTTACATTCACTATACGAAGCTTTCAATGATGATATGGAATAAGGTAGAAATCAAGTTTACCAAAAGTCCAATAAATAATTTACTTTCATCCAGACGTGTATTATGTCCTCCTAATTAATTTCCCTTTACTTACAATATAAATATAGATTTTGCATCGCCTGGAATGATTGCTAATATGGATAAAAATTTCGGTTACCTACAGTACTTGCAGTGTAACATATATTTAATAATTTTTCCTCCATCGCAACACTAACCTAACTGCCTTTCTAACCATAACTCTCAAACAATTGGTATGCTTGTAAAATTCCCACATTCAGACAATCTTGGACATAACTGGTTGAGACTATTTCCCCCCTATAGAAAATTCGCGTATTTTTATGATAAACTCCATGTTGAATCATGTTGCCATTCTTGAACCCCCGCTCCCCCAACTCAATGTTGAGCTTGTATCATGGTATATTACCAAAAGTTTTTTTCGGTGTTGTTCACAACATTGAACTGGGGGGGAGGGGGAGACAAAGTTTGTTTTGTCAATGTTCAATAACTTTGTAATATTAGCTGGAATGGTCTCAAGAGTTTTGTCCAAGATTGTAGCTACTAGATCAGCCCGCATGCCTAAATTTGAGCAGTTAATCTGGTGGGCCCATGAATTGAAAATAGGACATAAACGTACATGTGCCAGTCACTTGAATCCCCCCCCCCCCCACCTGCACATGCCGAGATTACCTGGGGAAAGAGGGACAATCAACTCCTAATTTTCATTGGTAGGAAGTGAATAGCCCCAGTATGCCCCAAGGTGGGGGGTCTGTGGTTTTTAAATGAGTGGCACAATATATGGGTCCCACATAATATTGGTCACTTACATGGTGTGTGTAATGTTTGTGTGCACTAATTAACATGATTATGATGTTAGTACCTCATTACTCATGTATTCATCCAGTGTTGTTCTAAACTTTCTTTTGCTGTCTTCAAATAATTTCTCCTTTCTCTTTTTTTGTCAGCTTTGGTCGTCTTAGTTTCTACTTTGAATTGGTCCAGCCTTGCGAATGACTTCTCCAACGAAACATTGTAGATTTTTTCAAAAACTGGATTCAGTCTGTCGTATATTTCTTAAGCACCATGTTAATATTCTCGACGAGTGCACTTTACTTGGCTTTGCATGTATATTGGCCGAGATTTCTTGAGCAACAACTGTTGGGTTATCCTTTAAACAAGACTTAAATTGCTTGGCATCAAGCTATGTTCGTCTTTCGCTTGTAGTGACAGTTTATGCCAGGTATCTGTTGAAAATGCTTCTAAATATTGCTCATGTTTTTGCGCTTTATGGGAGTTCCAAGTACTAAATTTCTTACGAAGTTCTGGCAATTTTCGGTTAAAAGACTTGAAATCAACTGCAACTCTGCTTCCAGTACTAGTGAACATAGACGTAAACCGATTGTGAGTCTCCTGAACAACGCATGTGTGATGGCTCTTTGGTGTTTCGTTCTCACTGTGTTTAACTTTAGTAGTAACCGCTCTTGTGATCTGCCAAGCTGCAGTTTCAGCAAATCTGCAAGTGTGCGGGTGAATGAGACATATAACCATGATTATAAAGTACAAACCTTTTCGTGAATGAAATCATTTATACTTAGCATTTGCTATCGCACTCTCGATATCGAAGAGAAATTTGAATTTGGCACCAAGATTTTGATCTTGCGCTTTATACGGACAGGATATTACCTCATGAAACTAAATGCAGATCAAGGTTGATATAGTGTAATATTACATTAATTTTGTCTAAAAAGTCTGAGATATTAAAATTATATGAGTTGCTAACACTAAAATGCAGTTTGGTACTAGAAAGCTAATGTAATTTGGTAGCATGTTTACAAGCATGTATTTCACCGTGTATTATACTTTACTTATGTCTAGAACTGAATAATATAATCCAAATTGCTTAGAAGTAGTGTCTCATAAAATTCAACTTGTAATTTTCTAGAACTCAACGATTGCCAAAATAGGATTGAAACAAGAAATATTTCATATCGAACTGTCACGATTGTTTTTATCGCCATTTTGTGCTTCAGCAGTTGCCATGGCATTGGGTATTCTGCTGAGGCAAGTACTTCGGCTCAAGCATAAAAAATGACAATGTAAATAAAAATATTTTGCCTCGAATTGTTGATTTTCAACCGCTTCGCCAGGGCATTTTTTTTAGTCGATTGGTAATTCTAATGAGTTATATAGTGATATGTGTTCAACTTTGCTGTTTAGTCGTGTATGGTTGTATATGCTCTTCGTGAATTATTTTAAATCGACTTATTTCATGATTGAGTCGCTTTCTTTTGATATTCAAGACCTTGTATCTAGCGCAATTACTCGTCCATCTGAAACCCCGGGGAGGGATTTGATTTTCAGCAGGGAAGAGCGGGGCTGATGTATGAATTTGAATTGCTCAATACACACATGAGGAGGATACACTGTTCTGTTTCCAATCGATTTCGCACATAATTCTTAAAATACACAAGACTGTTAATTTTCTCATCCTTCTTGAACTGATGTGACACTCGTTCTTTCCATGCGGAAAATTTTCCAACACTGATTAAGTAATGCAGAAGGTCTCTTGTTCGCGGGAAACAACCCAACAACATATTCCGTTCTGAAAGACCAAGAACCGATTCATCAATTCGATTGTACAAGTTCAAAATGAATATCCACATCTCTTTTACCATTGGACAATGAATCAACGTGTGTTCTAATGTTTCCACTCTTTCACCACACCATGCACATGCTGAGGATATTTGTGAATACTATTTATGCACTCTGAAATTGACAGGTAAAACCTGATGTACTGTGCGCCAATCAAAATCATGTAACACTGGATCATTGAAACTTCGATTGACATCCTTCCAAATCTCTTTCCAAATTAAACCAGGACCAAATCTTTGATTCCAAGCTAACTCGCTTCTTGCTTGTATCGGGGTAACACAATCTTCAATACGTTTTAGGTAATACATTTTGCTTGTGCAAGGTTGTCCCAAATCAACAGCAAATTTTCTCAGAACACGAAGAAGATGACTATAAAACGGAGTTGTAATGTCACTATTTGGTCTCGAGTTATCGTTTATGCCTAAAGCCCGTCCGATGTAATAACGCATGAAATCTTTCCAAGGTGCCTCACTCTCTTCAAAAAATCGGAAGACACGACCAAACAACAATGCTTTGCATTTGATGTCAAGATTAATAATTCGCATACCCCCATTCAAATAGTCCGACATACACATTTCAGTATTCCCTTGAATTTGGCTGTAACCTCTTCCCATGATTGGATCTTTGCATTTTTGGAACCAAAGTAAATACCAACAATTTTTAGGCTTGTGTTAACCCACGTTAGACCACAGGGTGAATCAGTACGAGAACGCCACCTACCGAGCCAAAGACCCTTTGATTTCGTTGTATTAAGCCTTGCTCCGGATGCTCAACCATATTCATTAAGGACATCAATGACTTTAACAAGACCATATGAATTGGTAACAATACAGGTGTTGTCATCAGCATATTGTGATATTTCCACTTCCTTCCCTCCCGGCACATGCAATCGCTTGTCCAAACACTTCGCCACTATGACAAACGACAATGGAGATAGCGGACACCCTTGTCGTACACCTTGTTGCATGTGAAAAAACTCTGAAACATAACCATTGGGTATTATAGCACTCCGAATGTCATGATAAATACTTTTAATGTATGATCGAAATTGTGGACCAAAGTTCATAGTACCTAAAATTCTGTCTAAAAAGCTTCAGTCAACATAATCAAATGCTTTTTCTTGATCAATCGATATAAAGGCACATGCCATTCTTTCATTAACTTCCTTTAAGCAGGTCCCAAAAGGACAAATAAAACTCTTTTGGTAGACCGTCTGAACCCGGTGTTTTGCCATTTGCCATAGACTTTACTGCTACCAAACATTCATCCACTGTTAACTGTTCCTCGCATGAACCGCATTGCTCATTTGTTAGTTTCCTGTCAAGTAAATTGAGTAACCGATCTTGGGCAACTTTGTCTGTTGGCACTTTTGAATAAAGTTCTTTATAAAATCGAACTTGTTCCTTTGAGATATCATCTTGCTCAGTCACTCTCCTCCCATCACTTGTGCGTAGAGCTGGACACGTTTTCTTAACCGCTCTTCTTTTCTCCTTTTGGAAGAAAAAGCACAATGGCTGTTTGTTTGATTGAGTCATTTTGCTCCACTTCGGATCTTGTTTCCTTGGATACGTTTGAAATCCATAGTTTCCAATTGGGACTTAACTAAGTCTAGTTCTTTAACTTCATCCTCCGATTGTTTTACACACAATACGACGATAGTGATTAAGTATGGTCGCACGTTCTTGCTTGCGCTTTCGAAATTCCTTGTGACTATATTTGAGAAGAAGAGATTTAACTCTCAACTTGCCAGAATCCCACCATTCTGCTACATTACCAAAATCACTTTTCCGATCTTTCCAATGTTCCCAACATGAAGCAATTTGCTCACAAACTTCTTGTAATAATGAGACATTTAACTTCCACACACTGGGACCAACATTGCTACTAGCTTTGTATATACCACAACTATTTGACAAGCCAAGACTCCAATACCCTTTCAGTCCCGACACTTTGTTCCATTTTACACAATCTTCAACTGTTGCAATATGCGTTTCTTGAAGAAATATAACATCAAATTTTTCATACTTTAAAAAGTCAAACAGCAGGCGACGTTTCCGATGATCTCTAAGTGCATTAACATTTAAAGATACCACACTCATTTCTGCCATTGTCCCTTAATTTTTATTATGTTTTTTCCGTTTCTTCTTTTTCCCCTTATCGGTCTTTTTTGCTGTTCTTCAGGTGAGCCTCCTATATCATGGACACGTTGGTCAGTGGAATCTTCAGGAACTTTAACACCTTTGTCAGGTATAGAAATGTCCTCTTCTGCTTTTCTTTTGTTGTTCACGACTGTTTGGACAGATCCTTGTTCTGTTGGGTGATGTTGGCTGGCATCATTGTATATCCCATTCATAACTTCATCTCTGATGCACCTGGATCAACATGTCGATTCCACAGGGTCCATATCTTCATCACTCGACCGGGAGACTTTGCTACTGTCTTCATCATGACCGATATCGTTACTCAAATTATTTCCAATGTTTCATTATCTCTGTCATTGGACACGTCACGTTGATTCTCTAGACAATTTGCTGTGACATGCCCAAACACATAGAAATGGCCACATAGAAAACACTTGAAACATTGACGTTGTATGTGACCATTTTGACCACACTTGAAACACTTTACATCATTCGAACATGTAGCAACACGATGTCCATATTCACCACATCTGCCACATAAAGGCACTTGCCCACGATATCTAGTATCTATCGGATAAGGGCCAATAAAGAGACGATGGGGAATCCTCTCAGTTAATTCACTCATTGTTGCCAGTCGAACCCCAGTTTCGACATTAGGCCAAACACGATACATTTCCGATCCACCTTCACTATTTTGCCATACTTCGCCAACATTGCAGCTATCGTTTCATTAGAAATTTCGTTAGGGGCATACAAAACTTTAACCAGTAACGTGGGCATATCAAGCTCTTGAGCAATCACTCGTTCACCCTATATATGATCCAAAAATAATTGTTTATATTCCAACGAGTGAAAAGTCAAACGATACTGAGGTCCAGGAACTTGTTGCACACATTTAATTGTATCTTGTCTCGCACATTTTAAAACGGCATCCATGACCTTGCGCACTGTAATATCCTTAAACGCTTGGGTATGCAACACAACAGTTGGGTCTAGCAACCCTAGCTCCAAACCGAGCATGTGGTAATGGTACAGCTCCTTGACTTAAATTCTGTGAACCAACAATATCTGCCCATGATCTTCCAGCTGTTTGCATTTCATCTCCCGCTTGTTCAGTCACAATTTCCTGGCTCCTTTCGCCACCCTCAGCTGTGCTTTCGTCACTGCCACGACTTTGCCTTTCGCCTCCAGGACTTCGCCCTTCACCGCCAGGGTTTAGCTCTTCGCCACCAAGTCCTCGTTCTTTGCCTCCAACCTTCCTTACTTCATCACCAACTCTTCCTCACCAACTTCTATATCCATTCCTTGTTCTTCTGCACCAATTCTTCGTTCATCCATTATTTAAATGTAGAATATTTATCATTCGGTGCACGAGGACTAGCTGGATCAAACTTGCTTGCGCAGGGAATTTATACAGTGATATCTGCTCTTTCGCTTGTGGGATGCAAAATGATATATATTAGTAAGATGGTGCATGCTTAACCACATTAAAGCATATATAGTGTGCATGCTCAACTTTGTGTTAATCCCACAAGCGTAAGAGCTGTTTTGTGAATAAAACCTCCAGGATCATGAAATAAGTTAGTTAAACATTACTAAGTAATATTACGTTTTCATCATAGCTAAGTAAGTCAGAACCATGCAGAAATATTTTAACTTTCTGTTTGTCTGAAAACCTGAACAATGCGTCATTGAACAACCTTGCAGTTGAGGCAGAGAGAAGATTGCGTTGAATGGCGTATTGAGTACAATAAAGAAAATTAGTGATGGTTTCTGTTGTTCCCCAACAATAATCACGAAAAGGAGAAGGTTTGCAATCAATTTTATATAGATAAAAGTTGAGCTGGCAGTGACCTGAGTGCAACCTTGTGTGAATTATGGAACTCTGACGGTTAAGAAAAATATTAAACAATTTATTATAACCGGATCTATTTATATATCATGATAAGGGTTTTATGAATCGTGGATAAGGGTAGTAATCTGTCCAACTTGTATTTAATTCTTTTTAATGTATTTAATGCATTACTAGCTTTCTGGTGTAGATTTAGAATATGATTTTGCCATGAGAAATATGAGGTTAGTGTTAAACCCAAATGGATATGTGAAATTACTTCTGTTAAGGGAACACCATTTAAATGCAATAAAGGATGAGATTGAGGCATTTGTGTAGCAGAGAATGTGATACTTTCACATTTTCTGGGATTCATATTCATTAACCATTGATCAATAAAATTGAGGTTGTTGTTAATTTTTTCGTCCGAAATCAGTGGATCATCAACTACATTGAACAATGAAGTGTCGTCTGCATAAAGAAAACAATTTGATAACAAGTTATTATTGTCATTTATATATATTAAAAATAACAATGGTCCTAACACAGAGCCTTGAGGAATTGCCCGGCTTGAATTTTGCCCATTAATTACAACTCTTTGTTGTCGGTAGGATAAATAACTGTGAAACCAGCTTAAAAGGGGTTCTTTAATTCCCAGACATTTCAATTTATAAAGCAAACCCTTATGCCAAACTTGATCAAACGCTTTGCTTATGTCAAGGAAAACCATGCATATACTTCCTTTCCATTTTCCAAGGCTTCATATATTTAATGAACAATAAATGTGAGTTGGTATGCTGTGCTATGTCCTGGTCTAAATCCAGACTGAAAACGATTAAGAAAACCTATAATACTAGGAGTTACTATCACAAGGAAAGTGCTGCCTCACCCCCAAGGGATCAAAGGCAGCATGCTGAATAAGGGGCTGTTTATATGATCCTGCTTTGCCAGGACGAGATGCCAGGCAGGATTATCTTGATGTATTACTTGTAAAATAAATTACTGTGCACGATTTAGCAAAAACTACATAGTTAACTGTAAACTAAAGGTTGTTCAAGGAGCAATAATAATCTTCTTCAACTACAACATTTGAATTCTGTTGACTTATTTCAATATACTAGAAAATACATATGCATGCAGAACCCTCGCCTTGCTCACAAAACCATTGTATTTACCGAACATGGAGTATCTAAAGTAGTTGTCATGGTAACACAATAATTTTTAAGAATATTCCCACAAATGAAAAATCGCCTAAAAATATAACTTTTAATTACAATATTATCAATTTCCCAACATATATATGTTAGGTGTGTTATTATAAGTAAAATATAAGCTTCAATTTAAGGTAAAATCCAACCACAAATGCTTCGCAAAACTTTTAAAGTGTTCTTTATAAAACTAAACTGCCTTTAATTAAATGGCTCTATCGATAAACTTTTTTATTTAAAAAATTCAATATAATAAAAAAAGGAATCAATATTATTAAAGATACACTGAAATTATATGCTGTCTTGTAATAGTTGTTTCATATACACAAAGGCCGTCGGGTTTTAAAGTCATTATAAAATCAATATTTAGAACAAACTTACCTTTGTTAACGTTGGCTCCCTTCTTTTAGCAGATTCTTTCGCTCTTTCTTCCTGAGAAACCTTTTGAAATTTACAAAATCTTGCCAAATGCGAGCAAAAATGAAATACATAGGCAAGAAATTTATCAATCATCAAATCAAGAAATGAAGAAATGTTTGCTATTTCGCTGTCGTCATGCAGTCGTTATAATGTAAACTTTAAATTGGACCAATCAGTGTCCGCTATTCATGACAGTCCGCCATATTTTTGAGATCAGTGAGGATGACCACACACCCAACACTTGAACACCATTGGTGACCCACGCCCGCGATAATTGATGAACTTTAGACTTCGCTAATGCTTTCGTTTCCCTGGGTGTAAATAGCAGGGGGGGGGGGAATTAGTACCCTCGCACGGCGGCTGGGGGATTAAAATCACCCCATCTTCAAATATTTACAGTAAACAGCCCCTAAGACACCTGTTCATCAGGTAGGAAAAGTGCAATTTGAATATCAAACACCTTGCACAAAGTCAAAGGTCAGCTAAATATTCTATTTCTACTTTCTTGGCATTGGGCAGTTTTATATGAATACCTTCAATGCTTATATATACAAAAGCAAGAAATTATAATTACAATACTGTCTGTGGTAAAGCTACAATCTTGGACATAACTGGTTGAGACTATTTTCCCCCATAGAAAATTCGCGTATTTTTATGATAAACTCCATGTTCAATCATGTTGCCATTCTTAAACCCCCGCTCCCCCAACTCAATGTTGAGCTTGTATCATGGTATATTACCAAAAGTTGTTTCGACGTTGTTCACAACATTGAACTGGGGGGAGGGGGGGACAAAGTTTGTTTTGTCGATGTTCAATAACTTTGTAATATTAGCTGAAATGGTCCCAAGGGTTTTGCCCAAGATTGTCTGAAGCACACTGAATTTAATTGTGCATTATAACTCAATCTTTTTAAATTTTCTTCCACTCCGGTAGTCTAAAAGATGGATATACACGTTACTTCTTGTTTTTCGAGCAATATATATATTCGTTTGCATGAAAAGTGAGCAAAATAATGCCTATTTGAACTTGTCACATCCTAAAATATACGCATGAAACGCATGAATTTTTCTTGTTGTTTCATCTAAAATATATAGTTTTCTACTGCCAGAAGCGAGTAATATCATGTTACTAGGGCATAGAGGTCGAGACACATGCATTGGGATTTAATTCAATTATGTAAATATCACGTTCAAGTGTTGCTGTGTATAGGTATTTTTTATAAGATGACGTCATTTGTTTTATAGTTTATCAGCCTCAAACTTGCTTTTAAAACTTATAATTTAACCCGAAATTTTTTATATGACGGTTAACCAAGTATAATCTTTATCGTGGTTTGATAAAAGAACGGTAAACAGGCCATTAGAACGGTAAACGGCGACTCCAATTTAAAACAATGACTAGACCTATCATTTACTATAATATCTTGCTGCTATCCCCGTTTACCGTTAATATCACATCAAATCTTTTCGTTAATCGTTTGAAATGTTCTTATATATCATAATAAAAGGTTTATGCTACAAAAGTCATGGCGATATACTCGTATTTCTTTACTATGGCCAATTTGAACATTGTACAGGCGACTCTTTGTTCCTCGTGGGGGGTCGCCATACTATAATAACCTGTGAAAAGTGCCGATTGCCTATATGAAAATAGCTGTGTAGACAACGTTTAGCATGTCCATGATTCCATTTCTTTTTAAACTCTGTAGCTATATTCTATAGCAGTAGCTAATTGGTTCAAATGGACCAGGGAACGTTCGCACGTTAGAGTGAATAGGCATTTTCTGGGAAAACCATGTTATCAAGTTTGACCAATTCGGTTACTTTTAGTTGTTGGATATGTTTTTACATTCACTATACGAAGCTTTCAATGATGATATGGAATAAGGCAGAAATCAAGTTTACCAAAAGTCCAATAAATAATTTACTTTCATCCAGACGTGTATTATGTCCTCCTAATTAATTTCCCTTTACTTACAATATAAATATAGATTTTGCATCGCCTGGAACAATTGCTAATATGGATAAAAATTTCGGTTACCTACAGTCCTTGCAGTGTAACATATATTTAATAATTTTTCCTCCATCGCAACACTAACTTATCTGCCTTTCTAACCATAACTCTCAAACAATTGGTATGCTTGTAAAATTCCCATATTCAGACAATCTTGGACATAACTGGTTGAGACTATTTTCCCCCCATAGAAAATGCGCGTATTTTTATGATAAACTCCATGTTCAATCATGTTGCCATTCTTAAACCCCCGCTCCCCCAACTCAATGTTGAGCTTGTATCATGGTATATTACCAAAAGTTGTTTCGGCGTTGTTCACAACATTGAACTGGGGGGAGGGGGGGACAAAGTTTGTTTTGTCGATGTTCAATAACTTTGTAATATTAGCTGAAATGGTCTCAAGGGTTTTGTCCAAGATTGTAGCCATACCAAAAGGTCATATACTATGCAAATGTTTAATTATTTGCATTATTCAAATATGCAGGTTATTAGGATAGCATGACCAATTGCCATGGCTAGCTAGCCACTGAATACTGCATAATATCATATACACAGTGTGTCTAAAAAAAAGTGAACCCTTTCAAATTTGACAGCTCTAATTAATATGTCAGCTTCAGATGACACCATTCATTGTACTCATTCAGAGATGGTACTCTATAACTAGAAAATACATGTATGCAGAAACCCTCGCCTTGCTGACAAAGCCATTGTATTTTCCGAACATGAAGTATCTAAGTTGTCATGGTAACACGATAATTTGTTAAGAATATTCTTACAAATGAAAAATCGCCTATAAATATCACTTTTAATCACAAAATTATTAATTTCCCAACATATATATATGTTAGGTATGTTATTATACGTAATATAAAGCGCAAAGCGTTTTAAAGTCATTAGTGTTCTTTAATATAAAACTAAACTGCCTTTTAAAATGGCTTTATCGATAAACTTTGAGTTCGCAATAAAATGATTTAAAATTCTCGCTTGCAAATAACTTTGCTTTCTTATTTATTTAAAAAATTCAATACCATAAAAAAGGGAATCAATATTAAAGATAAACTGAAATTATATGCTGTCTTGTTTAGTTGTTTCATATACGCAAAGGCCGTCGGGTTTTAAATCCATTATAAAATTAATATTTAAAACAAACTTACCTTCGTTAACGTCGGCTCCCTTCTTTTAGCCGATTCTTTCGCAGTTCCTTTCTCATAGAGCTTTTGAAATTTACAAAATCTTGCAAAAATGCGAGCAAAAATGAAATATATTTGCAAGAAATTTATCAATCATCAAATCAACTCAAGAAATGTTTGCTATTTCCCTGTCGTCATGCAGTCGTTATAATGCAAACTTTAAATTGGACCAATCAGTGTCCGCTACTCGTGACAGTCCGCCATATTTGAGATCAGTGAGGATGACCACCCACCCAACACCGTTGGTGACCCACGCCCGCGATATTTGATGAACTTTAGACTCCGCTAATGCTTTCGTTTCCCCGGGTGTAAATAGCCGGGGGGAATTAGTACCCTCGCACGGCGCTTCGCGCCGTCGGCTCGGGGATAAGAAAGAAATTGTGATCATAACCTGAGTATCAGGCTCTATTTTACAAATAGAGCCTGACACAAAACTTAACCTGATCGCTTTCCACCCACAGCAAAGTTTATATTTAGTAACCAATCAAAATGTCGCAGGAGAAATTTAAATTTCACACAACGACAACAACAATCTAATTATAGCATAGGCAGCCCACTAAACGGCTGAATTTAAATTAAAACTGCAATGAACTTATAAAATTAACAAAAATAATCACAAATTAGTGAAATATATTGGAAATGTAGCTTATATTAAATCACCACCCAATTGCTCGATCTCTCCTCCACAGAGGTTTCAGTGACTACAATTAAAGAGCTTTACATGGCGCTTACCGTATTTATCAACAAACTGACATATAATTATAAACTAAAAGTATATATATATTAAGGCCCTGTTTACACTATACCGGATCCGCTGGTCACGACATCTTCTTTTGCCGTTACGGAGCAATGGTTAGTAGCAAATGCTTATTAGTTTGACAGAATTGGCATGTTTATTTGGGTCTCTGAGATTAAAAATCTTCACAGCCTCTTCGATACCTACAGAATTTGACCCACTCCGATAGCAATCCGGTATAGTGTAAATGGAGCCTAAGTATACTTTATAACTATACGTCAGTCGATAGTGCAATCTGATGGCGATTTAATATAAGCTACATTTGCAATATATTTCGCTAATTTGCAATTATTTTCTAATTTTACTGCAGTTTTAATTTAAATTCAGCCGTTTGGTGGGCCGGATATAATTGTAGTTCGTTATAAAATATATCAACAACTGACAATAGTATAATCTAATTAGCACCAGCCAATCAAATGACAGATTTAAAAAATCGTTTGTCTAATCGGCCAATCAGATGAAAAAGCCAGAATCTGGCTTTTTACATGCGCCGTGGTAAAGAATTGTATCAGGCCCTCCTTCATTCGCCGCCGCCAATTAATCCTGGCGAATGAAAACATAAGGGCCTGATACCCAGGTTATTGTGATCATCAAAGAATATTCTTGGGTTTCATATGACGTCACAAAGTGATGGGGGTCAACTCTAAAACAAAACACAATTATCAGAGTGAGTCGATTGTTAATTTTTTATGTATTAGCCTTGTGTTTGATGGCAATACATGGAATTTCGTATCATTTTCTCACTCCAGTGCAGCAATAGATTTTTGCAAAAAAATGCGCTTGCCTGTTTTCAAAGTGTAAAAAGAAATAAAATAAAGCAAAAGTACTTATTTTGAATATAAAACCTTTGGAATGCATAGCTTAATGTTTTCCACTAAATATTACAAAGTTTTTGTTCATTAAATGTTGTTTTATCAGCTTTAAAACCAGATAAATTCATGAAACACTCCCAATATATGTCGCCATATTGATTTTCTTCACGCATGCGCAGACAAATTGCCCACCTGTTGACACACGGTGGTTTCTCCAGAGTCCACTTGACCCCAGTTGCGTGCTGGGTACTATTTTTCTGGGGGGGCCAGTGGGCTGTCAACCAATATGCGCCCCTCTAATATTACACTTGATAAACGAGGGCCGAAGGCACGAGCCGAGCGCCGAAGGTGCGAGGTTTGTCTAGGGGGGTCCGGGAGCATGCCCCCAGGGAAATTTTTGAATTTAGAGTCTCTGAAATGCCATTTCCTGGACTTTGGGGATGATTTGACAGAAATCCGATGGTCAGGAAACAGCATTATAACGTGTCGAAATTTGCAATTTGTACTTAAATTATGCAATGCTAACCACTTCCAGCGATTAATCTAATCCCAATTCTATTCTCTACTGATCTAGTGATCTGAATACATTTACAACTTACAGCTCTTTTATACAATACTACACGGACCCCACGCATATACATTTTAAGGTTTCCTTGCCTGGCTGCCAAAAGGGCGCGTTTCAGCATTATTTCATTACTTACATTACTCATGATGTTTCTTGCGCAAACAACTAAATTGCGTACACAACTTTACATTATCATAACTTCAACTATCTATCTGATTTGCGCCGCTCTCGTGAAGCATAATAAAGGGCGTAATATAAGGGCATAATACCAGAAAAAAGGGCATAATTCCCGTGATCACTTCCAAACCTGACCAATATTTCGGTAATGAGACATTGCGTTTGATCACTGATCATGTTTCTATATAAATGATTTTGTGTGCGCCGTAAAGTAGCAAATTAGCAAATACGGCTTAATAGACAAAATAGTCTGTAATTTAATATATCACTTTGTCGTTTTCTTGGCGGAAGTAACTATATTTTTTCGAATGCGTTTTTTCCCACCCACTTTTAAAATTCGGCGCGGGATCGGCGCCCCCTTTTCATTTCTGCACCCCCCAAGAATTGCCAGCTGGGGGGGCCGTGGGCCCCCGGCCCCCCCTGCCAGCACGCCACTGCTTGACCCAGTCTTTCGTGCGATCTATGTATTGTCGAGATCTCGATTTGTGTCTATCTGTCTGTAAAGATGATTTCCGGGAGGAATAATTAAGCTTCAGGAGGTTTTTTTAAACGAGGGGGGTGTTCAAACTTTATTTTGTATTGTGCAAGCAGTTTTAAACTTTTAATACAAGACATACGAGTTTATATGTTGGATTGCAAATGAATATCAAAGAATAAATCAGGTAAGAATGGCTTTATTGGAATTATTTATTTCTGGTGATATACATAAAGGCATTTAATATATTTAGATATGCTGTTTAGCATTCAATTGCAGAGGTATTGAAAGTTATTTGAAACACATGATTCCATGATGTCTCTATATTTTATATACAATCTGTTTAGGTCAGAATGCTGTCATAGGTCAGAATGCTGATGCATGAAATGAGCTTGTTTCAAAATTTTCTCATTGCTAACATGCTTGAGCTAGACAAAAGTAACTAGATACTAAAGCCTGTACAATGTTCTTTCAAAGCAGGAGGGGAAAAGCCAAACAAACAATTACCATGTCAGGGGTGTGTGGGAAAACTCTATTTTTCACTGTTTTAATTTTTTTATATCTTTTTTCTCTAGAATATCTTTTTGCTTACTTTTCAGCTTAATAGTTTAGCTAATTAGTGTAGCTTTTAAAATATTATAGGTTTTGATAACTTATCTCCTGCCAATTTTGAATAATTAGAAACATGGTGGAAAGTATAAATTGGTGGCCATTTTGAATTTCATTAAGTCACAATTATTGCCTAAATTACTGCCAGAGTTTTGGGGGAAACAAATGAATTAGCACTATAACAATGCATACATGTTTTAAGAAAAAGTGCTTTATTTTGAGTAAAAATACAAACATTAGTACTAATTTAAAACATTCATTGTCAGTTAGTCTGCACAGCAAACTCGGACATAAACTTTGGTAGTGACAAACCTCATGTGCATAAAACATGCCAAATATAAGATATAAATATGGTATATAATTATACTAAATAAAAACAGTCAAACCAGCTGCAAAAGGCATATCCAGATGCTTAAAATGCAGTAAAAATGCATAAATTACAGTACAACAGTTCTATATATAAAGTCACTAAAGTGCAATGAAAATCGATCCATTGTTTGCTTAATTGCCTTTACAGCAAGTAGCCGAAATTATGGGGCAGACTACTCTGACTTTTCCAGTGATTTTGAACTTCTTTATAAAGCATTATAACTTTATCAATTTCTGGAAATGTATACCCTGACCAAGGGGTTCCTATAATTCTTAAGGGGCCAGCAAAAATGAACCGGGGATCCAGCAGCTCAATATCTGCCTTTTTTGGCCAACAGAAGGACCAGTTAGCTAGTGATTTAAGCTTTAACCATGCAAACTTGACATCTTCATCCTCAATTGATACACATTTGCCAATAAAAAATGCATTGTCACACAATTTCCCCTTTGCGTTTGGGTAAAAGACTCCATAATATTTCCCGACTGTAATTTCATGGCTTTCTGGATTTGTTAACCCAATATCGTCAGTTAACAAAGTTTCCAAAGACTCTGGATCTGAGCTGTTGATGTTTTCAACATCTGAAACAGTGGAAGCATCATCAGAATCACTGCTGGTAAGGTCATTGTTTGTCTTTCTTGAATTATTCCTACTGTCAAATACAGGAATAAGCATGCAAGGCTTACCACCAGAGGCAGTTTTACATTTAACTTTGTTGCACTGTGACAATTGTATACATTTGCAATGAGGACATTGCTTGAGGCCAGATGCCAAACATTTATCATTGTTACAAGTACAAACATCATGGCATTTAATAAATTTCTCAACTTGGAGCTGTTTTAAGTCCTGTTTCTCTTACGTTGCAGTTCTTTCTGCATTTTTGCTGCCTCTAATGCCTCGACCTTTTCAATAATCATTTTGCCTTCCAGGGAACCATGGACTTGGGTAACATGGAGACTTTTTGAGGCTGCCTTCTTGAATTTCTTTGCTGGAATAAGCCCTTCGATCTCTTCAGGAGACAGGGTAATCTGGGAAACCTCCTTGAGTCTGGATTCAAGCAAATTAACCTTTGCCTTGTAATACTCTCTCGAACCAGATCGTACACCAATGGGTGAGGCCACTTTCCATGGAGGTTGGGTTGCTTCAGGTGTTTTACATCCTTGATCAAGAGCAGCTGTCATTGCAAATCTATCTTTTTGCATGAAATCAACAGAAATCCCTTCATTTGTTACACCAACTCTCTTCCCAGCTTTTATAATGGAACTTTGATCTGTCCATTTTGTCCAGATGTTTGATAGTATTATCATAAATCCTTCTTTATTAATACTTTCATCTGGTTCAAAGTGGTCAGATTTTTCCTTTCTGTATGACGAGTGAAGTGCATTGTTTATCTGATCTAGTAGTTGAGTAACAGAGGTGGTATCTGGTGGAGTTAGGAACAAGTGTATCTGCTTATTGTGACAAAATCTAAGAACATCCAGGTCAAATCGACTGCTGTGCCCATCACACATCATTATTACTGGCCGTTGCACATTATTATTTAGCAAGTAATTATCAAATGACTTCATAGAATCCAGCAGGGTACAACCTTCTTGATACCCACTATCGGTGGTGGATATCAGTAAGTTTGGAATCTTTTCAACTGCTTGACGTGGTGCCATGTGACTTGTTATATACTTGGCAGGAAATATAACATGACACTGCACAACATCACCAGAAAACGAAACAATGGGATCAATTGTAATACATTCTCGGTTTTCATACTGCAATCCTTTGCAGTCCTGGCCTTTTTCAGAGTACACAAGTGTAGGATGCATGAGTCCCATCTTGCCCATAACCGATAAATTGAGGTGTTTCATCCATATTAAACACTTGTGAAGTATCCAGATCTCCATCCCACACCCCATCTTTGCATTGGACAGCGTTCTTAAAAATTCCCACTGATATGGCTTCTTCTGCAAATTCATCTAAGTGCTCACAAGCCAATTGCCTCTGTGCATGAAATTGCTCGTTGAATGCTTGTGTACTGCTCCCTTTTTCGAGAGAGACGGTTGCCAACCTGAACAACATACAGTATATATGTTTGAATGGAAAGAACAAACCAATATGAATAAAGCTTGTTTGAGATATTTGTATAAATTTTGAACACAAAATGCTCACAACATTATCAAACAACAGTTAATGTACAGTGTGCACTGTACAGTATAATTACTGTACATGGACTGTAAAATTTTATATTGATTACAGTATAAATGATTAGTAAAATCAAAATTATTCAAATTTACTGTGCAGAAGATTATAAAATATGTTCTAACCTTTGCATCAAAACGTGTCCAAAAGCTTTGTGGCAATTTATTGCGTTCAATACACAGTTGTGCTGGCGATGTCAGCTTCTTGTATCTCCTCCCTCCTTGCAGTTTCTTGTTTACATGCTGTCTCACTTTTAACAATTTTACTGCCATTGATGACACTTCAGATCGATTCTGAGGCTGATATGCCCGGCTCTTACCAATTATATACTTTATTAACATTTCTTCCTCTGTATCGGTAAGAATTGAGCAGTATTCCTTTTCTTTGCCCGTGATTACTTTGCCATCTAAACGTGCGTTTATTGTCCGTGCATCTTTAATGTTCGGGCAAATTCCATTTGAAATTGCTTTGTAGCCTCGACAGTTGTTTTCTTTGCAATAGTCCACAGCTCTGTTAAGTTCCCCTTCTTTTAACGTCAACTGAGATCTTCGAACAGTTGCTTTTGCACTTGTATCAGCTTTAAATGTACACTTCTTTGAAGCCTCTAAAACTGACGCCATCTTGAATTTACATAAATTATAGAAAATGGCCTGCACAAACTTGCCCGGGGTGAAAATTAGTCAAATATGGCGGCTTTGACAAAGGCTCAAAAATAAGTGATAATAAAGACTATTTTCCCGTAAAAAAGCTTTAATATTGTGAAGTAATGTATTTTTTATTATTTAGCTGCATTTGTATTCAAATATTTCTTTTTTAAATTACCGTGGATATTTTTGTTTTGATCATTTTGACTTATACATAACCAGCATTTATCTAACCACAATTGACAAAACTATTTAATTTTTAAAAATTTTATCTGGCAATATGTAAAAATAAATTATAAACTGTTAAACCACCAATCGAAAAATGTCAAGCATTGTTTCGGAAAAAAAGCTAAAAAAACAAGACCTACATTGTGACCTATTACTGTTATTACACCAATATTTTTAAATCATTGATAAACAAAAGTTATAGACTTTCAAAAACAAAGAGGTCCCAGGAAGAGAATGTGAACATTAATACTTTATTATTTTAGATGAGGAAGATTCTACTACGTTATTCTCTCCCTCCCACATCTGTAGAAAAATTGACCAGCATTTTGACCTAAACTGACTGTACAAGGAGTGAAAATGAGGCGATGAGTTCAGTTTATAGTGTTCAATTTAGATGTTTGTAGCAATGGTGCTTTCAGCATGTTCTAAAAAACAAACACGGACTGTTACTTGTGCACATAATCAGGCTTTATATTAATAAGATTCCTATACGATAGCAGCCCAATGTGGGGATTGTTGTCTGTAACTTACCAGGCTACAAGCAGTTACATGCAAATAGCATGTCAACCGACTTTTGTACAAGGCCGGGTATCATTCATGCCTGATGGCCTGTTTTTATCTCTGAGACATGTCTATTAATTGTTAAAGAATAAAGATGCGGTACAGTCTGTATGTAAACAAAGGCTTTGTTTACATTTCGGTATCCAAAATATAGAATTTTATTCGACAACTATTTATATTTTCATGATTCTAGAGTATAATAAATTATCAAGACACAACAATTAATAAAGCTTTGCAAGAACATAAAACGAAATAAAACCTAAATAAACTGCTTGTATAAAAAGACAGCTCCTTTGTACTTTCGTGCACATGCACAAATCGGACTGTACAGCATCTACATAATATGAAATAATCCTACCGAGTTGACCTATGCTCATACATTCACCTGGCTGTGTCATGCAATACATTTCCAGGTATGCTATTCTTGGGTTTCACTAAGGCATTATGCAGTGAATCTGATGGGGGGTCAACCTCAAATGTATCGATGCTTAACCCAAACATATCAAAAATAGTGTACATTTACAAGGGCAATTTCAACCGTTTGGCACATTTTTCCCATGAATGATTTCAATTGTAATAAAAAGACTATAGGTAAAACTTTGATTTAAAGCTAGTTTCAAGTGATGAGCATACCATAATTTTTAAGCTATACCTCAAAGAAGATGGGCCATTTCAACATAAACATTGCAATATGGGTATACTGACAGCTCTGTCACACATGTAGTTTGACATTAGCAGCCCTTCTGAAACATTTTAATGAAAGTATAATTCACAAAATTCACATTTTCACTTACTTCTTAACATCTGTTTTAATCCAACTAGCTCTGTAGGCACAAGCGAAATTTAGTGTTGATGTAAATATCCATTTAGTTCATGAAATTTAGGTCGGTGAAAATATAGTCTATTCCAACACTGATTTCGATGTACTTTAGCTTTTCAGAAACCGTTGGCCTTCCTCAGTGAGATTATGAACTGTTTCACAAACATATTTAATAGTAAACAGCTAAAATATTCTCCGAAAGTCTATATTTTTGCTCTTTGACGTGAAAATGGCAACTCAAGAAGAAATGAGCCGCTATTTTTGGTCAGCGTTAGGGTGCTGCCTCGCAATCAATAATTCATAATGTCTAGAAAACACTATTTTTTCTGTTATCTTGGAAAGAGATGGGAGAAGAGAAATAGGTCAAAAGTTCACTTTACATTGTATGTATTTACATTTTTATAAATAGGAGATACATTAGCCTTTTTCCATTCTGATGGATATTCCCTTTCAGAAAACTAAAATTAATTAATTTTGTAAAAGATTTGGCAATTCCAAATCAACATATCTTAGGAATTCTATTTCCAATACCATCATGCCCACATGCTTTGGAAATATTAACACTTCCAATTAATACTTGGACTTCCTCCTTTGTAGTCCCCATTAAGGTTATAGGTAAGATTGATTTTGTTGATAATAGGATACCGGTATTGATTTACCTGTATCATCAACATAGGCTTGACTAGCAAAAAAATTATTGAAAAGATCTGCTTTATGCATGCAATCAGCTGCAGCAATAAGTGCAATTGCCATGTATATAATAAAGGTCTTATATATTACTTACTCTTCTCCTTTCTTTCCTTCTCCAATATGACATCTTTGCACTCTCAAACTTCTTAAAACGAAGTAGAAGCTCTTCGACAGAGAGGCCTGTTGCAGAGTTGTTAAACTCTAACTTCAAAGCTCACTAAAGGTAGGCAATAATACGTAGAAATTATAAACAACATCAATGGTAAAATATTATATATCAGGATATAAATATAACTTTTATATTTTGATACATTTATTACTATTTTTAAATGACCGAATAGTCTGTAAATAGATATGCCATTATTAACCTGTTTGTCTGGGAAATCCATTGGGAATCTTGCTTTTGTTGTGTAGTATTTCCCCAGCAGCTGAGTGATGTTTTCCTGAAACAATATTTTAAGACGTAAAGGCAAAATGGCATCATGTTACAAAAAAATGCCATGCATAATATCTGACAGCTCTGTGTGTATACAACTGTCCTGTTTGTTTAATAATATAAATAATAAAAATACTAATACTCACAGTGTGGCAGCAGTTTGAAAGATTAAACTTTTCTGCCTCCTTTTCATATTTTCTTAACACAGGCCAAGATTTCTTCTTGTACATCTTGCACTCTACTGAAAGTTCTTTTGACAGTGGCCACTTCTTTCTGCAGATCTAGTAATAGCCACTCTGAATTATTTCCTAAAGTCAAAAATGAAACAACAAACACATTTTAAGTTATATTTGAGTTATATTTCATTAACTCCAGTCGAAATATATGAGAATACAAATTTCTCCCTTTGTTCACTCATATAACCCCAATTATACTAACAGGTTTACAGCCCTTGTATAATTGGAATTGTACTTGTGGAATGCAACAATAAGATTTTGATCTGGAGATCAATTTGGTGTTTTGTTAAGCCTATTTTTCAAAAATAATGAATAATGAAAAATTTTCGTGTGGCAGATAAATCCCATGCGGGCGGGGACGAGAGAGAAACCAGTGCATTTTTAAGGATTCTTCAGAGGTAGGGCAAAACTGCCAAAGGGCCCACTCTCTCCTTGCCGTCCCCTCTGGATAGTATTCGATTGCCGAAGCTGTGAGCTGAGTGCCGAAGGCACAAGCTAGCTTGGGGGTCTGGGAGCATGCCCCTCCCCAGGAAATTTTTAAAATTTGAGTCTCTGAAATAGATTTCCTGCATTCTGAGAACACATTTAAAAAAAAAATCTCAGCTCTTCAAAACAAAGTTTCAATGGTGAAATTTGTAATAAATTGCATGCTAATCATTCAAATGCAATATAAGTTTTATTACTATATGGTAGAGAGTGAGATACTGAAAATTACACTGAGATATTTTCTATATCTTTACTATAGTGAAGATATCGATCACATTACATTTAGTCATATGACTAAATACCTCCGCCCTCAGTGTGTAACTCTAAATTAATTCAGTGAATCACAGCGCAAGCAAGTTTCTTCGCTATTTATGGTCACAACTAATATAATTCCAACTTTCCAACACAGGGCATATTAAAACAAGTTTATATCTTGCTACTTGTATTGTCAGATTGCTGCAGGAGAAGGTTAATCCTACCTGGCAGAGCACATTTGTATTATTATCGGTATATATTGCATCATACAAGTCACATGACTTCCGGTTCAGAAGTTGGCATCCTCAGGCATCAGGCATGTCTGGGTCTGCCCACGCTTGGATGATATCTTGCGCGCGTGTTGCACGCGCGATCTGTCAGTAACTCGTCTCTTAGAATATTCGCCCCTTGTGTGAGTATTTTAGTGAATTCGGGCGTTTGCTTCAAATCAAAATATAGTATATATGAGCGACAGGATTATTTTGCAATATACAATGCAAAGAAGTCTGTATACTATTCAGTTTTGATGTAATAATTGGCTCTTTGTATAGCAATAAGTATTGTATCATTGCGACAGCTGACCTTTGAACTGCTGATAAATAAAAGCTTCTTATAGTGCGCTATCTTGCGATTATTCAGCATTAATTGTTGACTGTTTCTTATTTTCATTGAAAAATTGCTTGTGAATTACAAATTAATAGCACATATAGTTCACTCGGTCTTTTCCACCATGGCATACTTCCCTTCAAGCATTAACTATGCTTCAAGATATCGGCTTGAATGGACAATGAATGTTGTTATTGGAAATATAATATCCCTTACAATAAGCGGCAGACTGTTTCATTATGGCGCGTGAAATTCATCACGCGAAAAACGTGTTCGACTTGCAGCAGGGTAATTTGACGAAATTTTGCTATTTTTGTTAGCTAAAAATATTAACAAGGGAACAAAGTTTCCTGCGTTAATTTGGAAACCACACATTTATTTGTAGATAACATTTAATGACGCAATTAACATTCGTTTGATGCCGATCATCATAATATAGCCGCATAAAACAATGAAACGAAGCCTAAATGTAAACTTTCCGGATTTATTCAATAAACAGTGATATTATGTGTGAATGATTATCGCAATTCTCCGTCCTCTCAGTCACGAATTATACTGCTGCAGAGCCTCTGAATAAAACGTATAATTTTTTGTGTTGTTTTTCGAAATATTCATCATGTGATCGTTGTCATGACAACGAAAGTAGGTCAACTTTTAG